GCTCATGATTCGTGTCTGGTCATCCGGGACGCCTTGGCATGAGTACGCCGAGCAAGAGGCATCGCCTTCCTCCGCGCGCCTGGGCTGGGAGTGATGAAGCCCTGCTTGCCTTCAGCATCCCCGAGCTGCACAACTGGCTTGGCTGGGCCCAGAAGCGGTGCGTGGGAGAGGCGGTCAGGACTTCAAAACCTTGACCGCCCTTCTTGTTCTTCAGCATCATGCTGTTCCGCTTGGGAATGTAGGCAGTGGCCGTCACTGCCTTGGTGGGCTTGCGCTGGATGTTCCTTGCCCCTCATGCTGGGAGTTCAGATCAAAGAGCTCCTGCAAGATGAGGGCATGGATGTAGGCGGCGTTGAACTCGCTGAAACTCCTGCGCATCAGCCTTAGCCGTGATGCCTTGCCCCAGCCTGACCTTGTCATCCTTGATCTCCTCCTTGGTGACCTTGCGCCGGACACGCCGCTGCGGAACCTTGCGCCGGACACGCCGCTGCGGAAGCCCAGCTCAACAACAAGGCGCCTGCGTCCTTCAAGCGGCCCTCGGCATCCAGCTCTTGCATCCTGAGACAGCAGTTGCAAGGTTTGAAGTATACCCAGACAGCATTCAGTGATAATTTCAAGAGCGGGCTTTCTTCTATAATGCAAGACGCCGAACGCAAAAATCCGGCCTGTGGTGGGGTGGGTGCGTAGTCCTCGTTGCGCCCTCGCTCAGACACTTGCTGCAGTATGTGCCTCGTGCTAATTCGTGCATGCTTCATCGACTTGGGAGTCTATCGATGCAACTCTACGTGGTAGCCGTCTTCATCCCTCGCCTTGCACTGGCAGTGTTTCACCTGGGGGTTGTCGTTGCAAGTTAATAGCGCTTGGCGACGTGGATCTAGTCGCTGCCCTGGCTGGCTCGGGAACTTTGGTGTTTCGGTGGTGTGTTTGCTGTTGGGGTTCCAGGGGGGAGGTGGCACCAACTGGTTGCCACACTATCCCCGGCATCGTAGCAAAGCGACAGTCCAAAGTAACGGCCGCGTCTCTATCACCTCCACGTCCGGCTCATGAGATTCGGGCGCGTGCTCGGCTGTGGTAAGTTTTCAAGGTGTCACATGAAATTCTGCCTCTGCCTGACAGCGGCGCCGCTTCTGCCCCTGGCCAGAACGTGACACAAGCCCAAGTTCTGTCAGCGCGTCATGGCGCGCTGCTTCGGCTTTGTGCCGGGGCTGTTTCAGGGCCGTGCCCAAGCCGTGGCTCCTGCGAGGGGGCTTCACGTGAAGGAGAAATCATACATGTGTGGAAGTGCCTCTCTGTGCCTCCTCCTGGAACCAGAGACAAGTGAACATACACTCACATGTGAAAAAGGGAAGGACAGCTCCTGTACTGAGCACCGGAGCAAGCTCGGCCGGAACTCGCAATCCTCGTCTCTCTTCTCCTAGCCTGCGTGGGCTCATTAGCAGGGTTGCACGCTGGTTCTGATAGGGCTGTTCATGCATGACCAACATGTGGACTGGAGACGTGTGCGCGCGTGCCCCACCCTTCAGACGGCGGAGTAGGGAAGCTGCCGGGCGCACGGAAGCATGTCCATCCTGCCGCAACCCGTTGGATGAGCGTGCGACAGCCACTTCTTGCGCCCCGCGCGGCCTTTGCGAATGATGCGCCAGCCGTGGGCCTTCGCGACGCAGACGCGTGATATATGAGAGCCCGCGCAAGGAGAAACAAGGGTCGTGGCCTCCGTCCACATCCTCCACTTCTCGGCGCCTTCGCAGCTGACCACGAATTGACGGGCCATGGGGATCATTCTCACGGAGCTGGCTACAATGCTTGCAAGAAGTCAAACCTCAAGCCGCAGTGCCTGCAGGCAAGCAAACTTGCCCTGCCCCGTGCGGCGCAAGACAACTTAACGAGTCCGAAAATACTGCAGTTGACATCGAGATTCCAGCCCTAATACTGTGCACCAGGCAACATGCAAACCAAAAAGCACATCAGCGTGCAGGCGTGCGAGAGAGCAACATGCGCAAGCTGTCTTGTCACTGCAGCGGGCTTGGTGTTCCCAAAAAAGGGCCGGGTGTAACAAACGAAGCCACATTTCAAAACTGCCACATGAGGCCACGCCAGCTCACTTGTTCTTGCTGGCCTTGGCCTGCTTGTGCTGCGACTGGAGCCGTGCAGCTTGGCACTGCCGGGTGTCCTTTGGCTTGTCCATACGCCGCGTCTGCAGATGTGCCAGCTGCGGGAGCTTCTCTCATGAGGCATGTCTGCAAAAGAGTGTGTGGCTTGTTTCAGCCTGCCAAAACAAAGAGCACACTCTGCGTAATTGGCGGCGGTTCAACTTCTGGGCCGCAGGAGCCCGAAGCTCGTGTCAAGTACAAGAAAAGCATGGCAGTGGTGCACGGCCCTCATCACCGACGAGGAGATATGCACAAACACCTACCCACAAAATCAAGAGGTAACATATCGAAGTTGGAAATACCGGTATAGCGATGCTGCTTCTCAAGAGGGTTTTACACTACAATCAATCGGGACCGGAGGACACACGGAGTTCCCTCATGGAGGTGCAGCATATGGCAAGCAAGCTTGGTCGACTTAATTTTCCAATACCACGCTTCCTGGCTTCAAGTGGAACCAGGGCGTCATACGGCAACATGACAATCGGCTTGAGCAGTAGAGTGCTGTGTTGGCTCATGGAATTACAATACCTCAAAAGCGCAGCGGAAAACCTCCGCCAGGTTGGCAACCATGGACGAATCCGGAAACCGCAGACTGCAACAAAGGAACGCCACTTCACACCACCGCACGGGTTTACACACCTCAGGTCCTGGGGGCCACCCAAAAAATTGCCGAGCGGCTGCCGGTCATGGAGGCCGCCAAGAGCGGCACCAGACAAGCTGAGCCACTGAGCTGCCTAGGACGACAGTCCGCCCTGGCATGGAGGATCAGAAGATGAGGTGGACATGGATGCAGAGTTGATGCCATTGCACGCGTTGCACCGCTTGATCATTAGTTCATCACGCATGCAGGAGTACATCACGCCGCCAGCCCTGCCACCCCCACCTCCGCCTCGCGGTGCCGCCAGGCATGGAAGTGGAAGGGCAAGGCGCCATGGGCATTCAAGGCAAAGAGGGGAGCGAGCGCCTTTGCAGCACTTGCAATTTTCATGACATGACGGTATGTGGCATGATGCGTCACATTTCCTATGCATTCAGACTTCCTGAGGCTCATTGAGTGCGAGAGCTATGGCCTCTGGCCGTGCAGGTGCGCAACAACATATGGGAGCGCCATCCTTATCGTCTGCAAATGGTATGTCACTGGAAGAAAGTTGTCATTGCTTTCTACGGACTCGTGTCTCGCTACAGGCCTGGAGCTGGACGTGCACGCGAACGGACATGGCTCTGACAGCAGCCCCGCGCTTGTGAGAACTCATCCCGAAGGGAGATGATCAAAGTGCGTGTCATCCGTCCTGCGGCCATGCTGGCAGCCGCGACGCATCACCGCATGCGTGAGCACTATGTGCCCTGCACTGCGAGCAATGCGCGGGACATGCAGATTGCCTGCGGCAGGGCAACATGCAGGCACTGCTCGAAAGCAGACCAGGGCTGCTTTTCAGCCCTGCTCTGCGTGCATGGCCCTGCAGCGTACTTTCTCCGTTTCCTCTTTTTGTGTAAAGGGCAACGTCAACCATGTTTTTTGGAGACGAAAGTGGTGTAACTGCAGCTGCTAAGTGACTTACAATAGCTTTGGCAACTGACTTATAACACTTTCTAGAGGGGTGGTAAGTTACACCTAAGTCAAGCATGTAAACTGCGCAGTAAACCCTCCGCCCTTGGGGGCTTTGTCTCCTTGACTATGGAGGCGCCTTGGCCCGTCAAGAAAATCGAACGAGGATCAGGTTGCACCGCACAGGCGCACTTACGCGCTTGCGCAACACGCAGGCCGCGCGCACACACGCGCGCGCCCACGCACACGCACACGCACACGCCCACGCACACCACACGCACCACCCACACACACAGACACACACACAGACACACACACAGACACACACACAGACACACACAGACACACACACAGACACACACAGACACACAAAGAGACACACATAGACACACACAGAGACACACACAAAGACACACACAGAGACACACACAAAGACACACACAGAGACACACACAAAGACACACAGACACACAGACACACACACAGACACACAGACACACAGACACACACACAGACACACAGACACACAGACACACACACAGACACACAGACACACAGACACACACACACACCCACGCACACACACACACACGCACGCACGCACACACACACACACACACACAAACACAAACACAAACACAAACACAAACACAAACACAAACACAAACACAAACACAAACACAAACACAAACACAAAACACAAACACAAACACAAACACAAACACAAACACAAACACAAACACAAACACAAACACAAACACAAACACAAACACAAACACAAACACAAACACAAACACACACACACACACACACACACACACACACACACACACACACACACACACACACACACACACACACACACACACACACACACACACACACACACACACACACACACACACACACACACACACACACACACACACACACACACACACACACACCCGCCCACGCGGGCGCGCGCACGCACACACGCAGGCACGCAGGCACGCAGGCAGGCATACAGGCATACAGGCATACAGGCATACAGGCACGCGCGCAACCACATCTGTCCCCAATCCCAACCCCATCCATCCATTCATCCATCATCCCTCCATCCATCCATCATCCGTCAGTCACTCCCCCTCCATCATCCATCCACCCACCCGCTCGCTCACGGCGGTTTGTCTTAGAAGGATGCTTTCACGCGAGGCCGGTGCGCGGAGTGAGAAAAGACAAAACGGGCACTGCGCAGGCCCACGCCCCTCACCAACCCCCTTGTCCTATCTTGCCGTATCTTTCCCTTCTCTCGCCCATGTGTCCTGGACGAGCTTTGCTTGCGTGAAGCTCTCGGAATGGCGCCAGTGCCTCCCCGAGCAACCGCCAGTGGCGATTTCCAAATGATCGCTGAACAACTGGTGTAGCAGCGTCTCAAGCCAGGGGGGGCAAGCGGCCTCGCAAAAAAAATGCCAACATATCGAACATATCAGCTTCCTCGTGAGACGTGAATATATTGACGATCTCCGATCAATCGACACCCATGGGCCGATGGCACACTCAAAAGTCCAGAATGGGAAAATCATATAGGGAGGGCTTTGTGCGGGTGGCCAAAAAACTGTCCCTGAATGAAGTGTATCTTAATATGGGCTTAAAAGTGTGTTACGTGTGTGTGTGTGTTATGGTTGGTTTGTGTGGCTTAAAGCGCGGACTGGGCTGTTCTCCAAATTGAGTGATTCACCCAAATCCTCTGAGTACCCCGTCCCCCCGCGCGGCGCACTTGAGCATGGCTGTGGCAACCTTGCTGGTCGGCTCCTTGTCACCGCGCCAAAGAAAGAGGGGGGAGACTAGCCTCGAAGCCTGTGTGTCCCTGGAAGCCTGTGTGTCCCGCCACGCCAGCCTGTCCTCCTCACTTTCCGAGGCTGTGGAACCTGAGGGCTCGTAGGTCGGAGTCAGCATTGGGAAGCAACAATTAAAGGGCAGGGTAACCCGAGGTGTGTAGAGTTAGAAAAAAAAGGGGGGTGAGGAGACGAATGCGCGTGTGAAACACGTGTGGCAGTCGCAGCGCAACTTCTTGTCTCAAGAGCGACTCGCGTTGGGTCTCTGCAGCGGTCCCGCTCTGGGTTGACGGCAGCGATGACAGGAAAGCAAATTCAAATGCGACTACGGAGGTGCCCGACAAAGCCTGCAAACTCAGTGACGCTACAGCTCCGACGCCATTGCGCAGCCGAGGGAACTCAGTGACGCTACAGCTCCAACTCCAACGCCACTACCTTCCCACGCTGGGTCGCGCAGTAGCGTTTGGAGCTGGCGCAAAGACTCACGTGCAGCCGAGGGAACTCAGTGACGCTACAGCTCCGACTCCAAAGCCACTGCCTTCCCATGCTGGGTCGCGCAGTGGCGTTTGGAGCTGGTGCCAAGACCTTTTGCACTCCAAACCAGCCGCCAGTAGCTGACGAATGTCACAGCCTCCGGCCTCGGGCTGCATGATAACCGCTTAGTGTGTTGAGATTGGGATCAGTTTGCATGAGCCGCGCGCAGAGAAGCCAATCGCACATGCACAGGCTTGCGGTTTCTGTTTGCTGCAGCCGTTTGAAGTTGAGACTGAACTCAGTTCAGACAAAGCGCCAAGAAACTGTTGTTCGGCGTGTCAGCTCTTAACTGAATACTGCTGAACATTTCTCAGACACAAGGCTAACTCCGCACAGACTTTTGCGAGACGGGTTCTCGTGGCCAAAGCGATTGAACACCATTATTATGGCACATGGCAAGCGTAGTCCACAAAGTCCAAGTCGAGTGTCCAAACAAGAGGCTGAATTCTGTGGCGCAGTGCATTTACGGGCGCGCGCCTTTGCGCGAAGATATTGCACGACAGTCTCCGCTCTAGGCGCTTGCAGCGACTTTTGCAGCAGTTGTCTGGAGAGGGCGGACGCTGGGACTATAATACTGCGCCCGCGGACATCTCCAACACTGCCCCTGCCACACGAACACACGTTAGACAGCTGCCACACGCTCCAGCTGCCACACAAACAAACAACCAGATGCAGAGCATACTGCGCCTGCCACGCACAACACGGCCATCTCCAAAGTGAGTGAGTGAGTGAGTGAGTGAGTGAGTGAGTGAGTGAGTCAGTGAGTGGGTGAGTGAGTGAGTGAGTGAGTGAGTGCGTGAGTGAAGTCAGTAAAGTGAGTGAGTGAGTGAGTGAGTGAGTGAGTGAGTGAGTGAGTGAGTGAGTGAGTGAGTGAGTGCGTGCGTGCGTGCGTGAGTGAGTGAGTGGGTGAGTGGGTGAGTGAGTGAGTGAGTGAGCGAGTGACAGTGAGTGACAGACAGTGAGTGAGTGAGTGAGTGAGTGAGTGAGTGAAGTGAGTGAGTGAGTGAGTGAGTGAGTGAGTGAGTGAGTGAGTGAGTGAGTGAGTGAGTGAGTGCGTGCGTGCGTGAGTGAGTGAGTGGGTGAGTGGGTGAGTGAGTGAGTGAGTGAGTGAGCGAGTGACAGTGAGTGACAGACAGTGAGTGAGCGAGTGAGTGAGTGACAGAGTGAGGGAGGGAGGGAGGGAGGGAGAGAGGGAGGGAGGAAGGGAGTGAGTGAGTGAGTGAGTGAGTGAGTCAGCTGTCAAACTACATGCTTCACCACTTGCATTTGTGTTACATGTATGTGTACTACCGCAGGCCTTGAGCCTCAGCACGACTACATCTGTCAGGAGAAAACAAAGGCTGCAGCAGACTACATTTGTTTATGTTAACAACAACAGCATTGCACTCGCACTTGTAGCAATTGTTACTCCGATTTTAACGTGGTAGCGGAGCTGAGCTGAGATCCTAAACATGGGGGAGCTCCAGTATTCAGCAGTAAGTACTACAACAACTGCAATAGCAATCCCATGCCAGGCTACTACGACATGTCAGGAGAAGCAGCATCAGCCTCTTTCCACCAAGGATCTGCAATTTGTTCTTGTTGTTGTTTTGCTTACTCTGTATAGGCTGAATCACAGCAAGGGGATCTTCCATTGTCTGTAGTGATTGGATAGATGTCAAGAAATGTCGATCTTTTCTGCTCGTAGGTAGAAGAGTCCTGAGTGTCTGCTTGTTGTGGTCCATGTGTGACGGTCTCGCGCAGAGGAGAACTGACTCCAGTGACCGTGGGTCACGACCACCGCCTCACTACGACGAGACCAACTACCACTTCAACCACACTACACCCAACAGCACAGCTTACTACCAACCATCAGCCATTGTGGAACAACTACACACCACCCGGTACAAGAACGCAGACACCACTACTTCACAACACCCACTACATGCAACTCTTCACAGCATTCACGCTTGAAGAGTACCAACCCTTTCACTACAACAATCTAACCACCTGGACAACTCGACTTTACACGACCGCTACAGTGCGTCTTGGGTGATCTGAGGATGCCCCGCTACAACGGCACTACTCAGCATAACACTTGCTGAGGCATGTGACGTACACTACTACCACACAACTTCACTGCGCACTACAACAAATCACAATGACAGCTACATCGTTGTCAGACTACATGTTGAACAAGAACTACTTTTGAGGTACCTTACCTCAGGACAATTCATCCACTTCACTTGCGACTACATCTCCTACATGCTCTCCATCCAGACAACGATCTACCTTCCAGTCTCACAACATCCACAACTCATCTACAAGGTGGACTATGACTAAGTGAGATCTACAGTTTGGAGAAACTACATCTGGAACTACCACATGCTCTTGTTCCTACCTGACCTACTTGAACAACCACGAACAACTACAGGACTTTCAACACAAAGCAATTACTACAATCCTTTGCAAAAGCATCCACTACTATGGATTCACACTACTCACAATGACAGACCTCACTGCACAACAGCGACTGCAACTTCACCACTTCCTCCACCACCAGAGGTCGACGACAATCAACTACGTGGTGCCCCGGACTTCACCGAGCACTTCGTTTCGTGATCAACTACTACGCTTGTTTGAATCAACGAATGGAGCAGGTACGCAACTACCGGCTCCAACATTGGGGACTACATGTCTGAGATACAGGCTTGCCTACGACTACAGGTACTTCCTCACCAACTCCGCTCAGTCCGCCTACATTCTGGACTGAGACCTGAACAGCGTGAGCTACTGAGGATCTACCTCTTTTCTTTTCACTACAGTAGCATAGATGAACAACAAGAGTTTTCATCACTATTGGGAATCCTTTGTTTTCCACTCCAGTTAGAGAGATACTACACAAAGATCTTTCAACTGAGGGGAATCTACATGCTTCACTACTTGCATTTGTGCTGAATGTAGAGCCCACTTGGAAAACGTGCGTCGCACACACTACAGGTTTGATTGTTAGTGACAACTTTACAGCACTTGCACTTGTAGTAGTTGTTGAGAGAGAGAGAGTGTGAGTGAGTGAGTGAGTGAGTGAGTGAGTGAGTGAGTGAGTGAGTGAGTGAGTGAGTGAGTGAGTGAGTGAGTGAGTGAGTGAGTGAGTGAGTGAGTGAGTGAGTGAGTGAGTGAGTGAGTGAGTGAGTGAGTGAGTGAGTGAGTGAGTGAGTGAGTGAGTGAGTGAGTGAGTGAGTGAGTGAGTGAGTGAGTGAGTGAGTGAGTGAGTGAGTGAGTGAGTGAGTGAGTGAGTGAGTGAGTGAGTGAGTGAGTGAGTGAGTGAGTGAGTGAGTGAGTGAGTGAGTGAGTGAGTGAGTGAGTGAGTGAGTGAGTGAGTGAGTGAGTGAGTGAGTGAGTGAGTGAGAAAGTGAGAAAGTGAGTGAGTGAACGGCGAGCGGCGGAGGGCGCGGGCGCGCACAACCAAACGTTTCGCACAGCTTAAGAGTCATCCGAGCACTCCGAGCCCACGGCCATCAAACGACGACTGGGGTGCTTCGGGCCTTAGCCGCTGCAATGCTGCGTTGCTTCCCCTGTCGCATTGGGCTCAGAACGTTGTGGAACCTGGCAATGCTCGCAACGCTGTCAACGCACAGCCTGCCCTGCACCGACGCCCCGATCCCGATGCCTTGGCTGCCGCCAAAGCTGAAGGAATTCTGTTCCTGATTCTCGGGGTGCAGAGCCTTAGGTTGCCTCATAGTGTCACGACACAAGCAATTTTGCACTAACATGTCGATCCCTGCCTTGGCCGCTGGCAGCATAAAAGGTCCAAAACATGCGCCCACATAGGTCTGTAACGATTCCAGTACCTGCGAGCGAGCTTGTCAGTAAATGCCAAGTTCCAAACATTCTGAGCTTGCCGTACGCAGGAAACGCTGGTGGATGATCTGAGAGATAAAAAGCTCAGCGCACTGCCACCGCCTCTTGAAGTCTTGCTTGTTGGCTGCAACTGAAAATACGATTGGTCACTGCGTGACTCGGTTGGGCCAACTGACTTCTGACTGGTAGAATGTACCAATGAAGGGGTGGTGCGCAACAAGTCAAGCAGGGGTAGGAAAGTACTAAAATGGGAAATGGGTAGCTGTTGGCTTGCATGCGCAGCGCTCGATCCAAAACAGTCTGCGAGATTTAAATACAATCATCTGCGAGCATCTCCAAGTTAAAACTTCCGAAGCGCAGCAAAGAGGCGTTTTGAGACTGACAGCCTGCGTCAAACAGCTTGAGGATCAAAAAACCAGCGACCAGTCTCGTGGAACCTCAGAAGTCCCAGCAACCAACGCAGGGACACTGAGCCTGAGACTCGGTCCACCAATGCCCCAAATCAGAGGTGTACTTCTTCCAACCTGATGTGGCTACGGATGACGTCCGGCAAACGCAACTCCGGCCTTGCTGGGATGAGCAATCTTCGAAAAAGAAATCCTCTGTTTCCTTGGCCGCATACTGTGGCGTGCGCCCAAGAATACCCCAATCTGCCAACTCCGAAACTGCAATGGCGTGCGGGATGTGCAAAATTTGGTTAAACCAGGAAGCCCGGTGGTACAGCCATGCTCTCTTCGTTCCTGGGTCAATGAACTTCTCCCACTTCTCCTCCTTCTCGCAAGACGCAAACATCTGTTTTTTCCGTACAAGGCGTTCGAGGATCGTCTCCAAGTTATAAACTCACGCAAACTACACGCATAAACAGAAGAATGCGATTCAAAAATACAAATCGCGTCCTTCGATCTTGGCGTAGAGATGTCAAACGCTTCTGCGTCGCCTGTCATGGTGCCCGGCACGCCTCCCGCTCGTGTCTGCCCGCCTTTAGAAGGCACTCCTTCGCTCTCCCGGCTTGCCCCCTTGAGCTTTCCCTGTTCTTTCTCCGCTTGATCTTGATCCTTGCGCCCCTTGCTTGGGCTGAGGCCTGCAACTTGGCTGCTTTGCCCGCTGCAATGGCCGTCTGGACTGCGCCGGCGGCCAACGATTTGGCTGCTGCCCTTGCCGCCCTGCCACTACAATCAGCAATGACCGGCGCAACAGATTGTCCGTGTGTGACATCGCCAAACTCCCACGATTATCCGCCAACCCCTAACTCTGAAGGATGTCCATCGTCATCATAATCATGATCATCCTCATTGAAGTCATCATCATAATCATCATGATAGTCAACATCATAATAATCATTATAGTCGTCGTCATCTTCATTGCAACCGACCTGCCTGACTGCCTAAGCAGTAACATGTGTATTCTTATTCTTACTTTACTAGGTTATCTTAGTAGGACACTATTAGTTCTTGTCATCTAGCGAGCCGCAGCTTCAGCATTGCAGGCGGCACGTGAAATCTTCAGCTCATCTCACTACCGTACCTTTTCTTACACGATTCGGATGCCACGTTAGGCGCTTTCCATGCTGAGGGAAAAGGAACAGGGAATATAAACCTTAATCATATTCTAATCTTACAATATAGGATTCGGATGTCACGTCAGAGTTGCCACGCTGGGCGGAAAGCAAAGAAAAAGCCGGAGCGAATTGCAGCCTCAGCATTGCAAGCGGCACTGTGTTTGTCGTAAGTCTTGTGCAACCTTGTATGTAGGAGTCGGATGTCACGTTCGAGAGTTGCGATGCCAGGGGAAAGCAGCTTCGAATACTGGTAGGACCATAAAGTCGGGCGGGCTAGGCGCATCAACCTTGTTGAAATGTGTTACGTGCCTATGTGGCAAGGTCGATGCGACCGGGTCACAACAGGGTCACATCACCTCCATGTTTAGCTTGCGTTTAACCATTTGAACCATGCTGCAACGCGGCAGCAAGCAAAACAAGGTAGTGAGGCAGCAGAAAGGCAGGGACAAGCCAGGAGCAAGGCAGGGGCAAGCCAGAAGCAAGGCAGGAGCATGTTGGGGAAAAAGGCCCAAACGAGGCCCAAACGAGGTCCAAAAGCAGCCAAAAGCCCCGGTGGCCCAACCGACCATGCACGCGAAACAATGCAAACGCATCAGTCAAGCTGCTCTGAAAAAAACTATTCGAAGAATGGGTGTGTTCTGCTGAAAAAAATTGATTGGCTTGCTGGTTGTTGTTTTGGTTGTTGCTGCTGCTGTCGCTTGCGGCTGGCTCTGAAAGGACTTGAGAAAAAACATGCTAAACGCAACCTAAATTCAAGAATCGCTACGACCCCCCTACAACGCTTTCCTCAGTGGCAGGGAGACAGTCAAGCCAAATTGATGCGACTAGCCTACTTGACTGTATGAATACTACATAGAAAGAACCATCATCATCATCATCATCATCATCATCATCATCATCACTCTTCTGATCATCATCATCGCCAGTCGGTGGCGGGATGAAAGGATCCCGGCCAGTCTTGGCGCTCTACTTTCAATTTCCACGGTCTTGTGTAGAAATTCAGGATGCGAATTCTCCGGATGGCAATCTAGTCATTCGCGTAGTGTATCTGTCCCAGGTGGAGTACATGTTGGTGTGGAAGTCGACCTTCGCTCCCACTGCCTCCAGGTAGCTGGCGGGAAGCAGGGGTGGTGCGACAAAGCCATTCTGATCTGCGACAATCGTGAAGCGGGCGATGCCCAAGAGACCGGCAATGCTGGTCGGCACGTCCACAACTCGTTTCACGATGGCAGCCCCGCCAATTCCTGCGCAAGGAACTGCGCTTTCTCCTCGAACCGGCACCGTGAAGGTTTATTTGGTTGAGCTGCTCCTTCAAGGCCTGAAACGCAGCGTCGTCCGTGATGGCGTCCTCCGCTGCAGTGTCCACCACAGCCTCAAACCCACAGCACCGAACGCCTGCGAAAATCGCCCGGCAAATGGTGTTTTCCTTCGGCATGTTGCCTTCGTGCTTGGTGAAAACATAGGCTGTTGCGGCGGCGCCCTTGCCTTGTACGAAGGGGCGCCCAGCTCATTGCACCGGAAACATCTGGCGCGTGCTAAAAGCTCGGCCTCCTTGATGCTGCTGTCGCCGTCTCCCCCATCACCTTTCGACTTGCCTTTTCGCTTGTTCCCGGTGTGGCGGATGAAACCTCTTTCTTTCCACCTCGTTCTCAGGTCTTTCCGAACATTGTTGTAGGCCTGCACATAGATCGCCTCGGCCTCGTCATATTCGCGGCCCTCAAAACGAATCTTGTTGGAGCCAGTTGAAGACTGCGCCCACTCATCGTGCTGCTCGAAGTCCTTGACTTCCCATTGATGACCTTCTCCAGCGTAGTCTCCATCTTGCCAATGGTCTACGCTCTTGCGGTAGTTCCAGACGATGCCATCGGGACCATGGGCTTCGAGAGGGCCTCCAAACGATCTAAACTTCGCAATGAGTTCGCGATCTCATCGAAACTCCTCAAGACCTGAGACTTGAGGGATATCATTTCCCGTTGCAAATCCGTCAGGTTTGCCGGCTTGATAAGGATTCGACCGGCAACGAGCGGCGAAAGAGCTTCTCCTATTTGGCTTTCAAGCTCTTGTTCTTGAAGTTCTTGTCGTGCTATAAAGATTGCAAAGGTTTCACCGCGACCTTGCTCACCAGTGAACAGGAAGGCGTCTACGGACATCGGTCCCATTGCTTCCAAGAAGGCTTGGTACTTGCGCAGCAGGGCCGTGAGCACCGCCGTATCCATGTTCGCTGAGGATCACTTCTTTGCGCAATAGCATCCGCTATTTTCTTGGCATCATCGGAGAAGGCCTGATAGATCTTCAGCCTCAACTGGCCTCTCGGGATTGAGTTGTCTCGCTCCCAAACCAGGTTCGCAGCCCGGTGTTCCTGACCAAGTTGGCATTCTTTTCTCCTGACAGGGCATTGACCAACTGCCTCATCCAGTCATCTGAGCTTGGCCGCGACTCAGGGATCTTGGCCGGAGTGGCTTTGCTCCAAGCCTGAAAAATTGAAGCAGCTGGTGGCTGTGCTTGTTGGTCTGCAGGTCTGATGGCATTCCAGAAACAACCATTCGGGTTAATCAACGGGTTTCCGCATTGGCTTGGTGCAAAGGCAGTAGCTGGCACGCCGTTGGCACCTCCCATCATTTCTTGTAATGCTCTGCCAAGGTCTGGTCCAGGTTGAAGTGGTTGTACTCCCAAACCATTTCCATCAAATAGACCTTGTGACCCACTAGGACCTTGGTTTTCGAAGATGGGGGATTGCCGTCCGGCTTGCTGATCAGGTGAGCTTGATGCGCTGGTTGCTGGGTGGCTTGAGGGTTGAAGCCCAAGTTCTGCCCGCAAGCGGTCGCGAAGACTGACCTCATACCCGTAGGCAACTGGTTGCAAGCCGCACATCCTCCTCCGCTGGGCTGTTGAGTCTGTGTAGGTGCTCGGCGACACTGCCGCCAGGGGTCGTTAACCTGTAGAGGATCTTGTTGTTGAGGTTCTCGATGTAGTTGACCTAGCCCTTGAGGAAGTCCATCTGGCCATGTGGGCCCTAGTCGCGTCCCCCGACGCCATTGCCCCGGCAATCCTGCCCGGTGTGTTTCCGGGCTCCGCTACCATGCTGACAAAGCGCAGGGAACTACAGAGCGCTAGCTCTTTTCTACGCTCGTCGGAGCCTGTACGGCTCAAGGCCTGGCAAGCGATACAACCTATGACACGAGAGTGGCTTTCTCAGCCCGCCGCCCTCTTCATCTCTTATTCTCTCATCTCACGCTCGGAGACAATTAAAGCGCGAGGAGAGAAAGAGAACCAACATTTGCAGCCTCAGCATCAGGCGTCACTGATTATCTTCATCTCATCTCATGACCTTATCTGATTGTGTTCCAGGGCAACACATCCAAGCGGCAGCCCTGAAATGGACGGGAAAGTGATGGACACAGGGAACATGG